CACAAAAGGGTTTTTGGAGATTTGTACGAACACAGTTGAACTACTGAAGTCACATAAGAGTGTTTTCGACAATGTTTTGAACGTCTCTAAAACGTTATGTTGCTTTATGGAGGAGGAGAGAGCTCCAGGATTTCATCTAAAATATCTTTGTTTGCGTTTTAAAGAAGAACGAAGATCTCAGCGGGTTGGGACGACATGGGCGACATTTAATAACAACAATTACATTATTGGGTGACCTTTTAAGGAACTTTTATTCTACACCAGCTGAAAATCAACACCTTAGACATTAATATGTCATAATTTGAAGTGCCATCACTGTCCATAGAACATTATTAAAATAATCGAGTATTTCTCAGACTTCTGAGAAAAGTCAGTACGACCAAGTAGAAGTGGCAGATGTAGACGTGAATTCACAAAAGGCGTATGTTGCTCAGTGTCAAGAGCAGATGGAAAATACCTATACATAGCAAAACACACACACACGCATCCTTCAACGAACCCCTTTGACTTAACACATAGCCACTTTTCTCTTAGCCTGTTGAATTCTTGTAACGTTTGGCATCTTGTCACTGCTCAGTCTTGCACTTCTTTTGGGATGAGTGAATTGCGCGGGTCGAGGGTGACTGATCTCACTTCTTGGGGCAGCAGATGGCTAGTGAGACACACAATGAGGCTCACAATGTGTGCGACTGCCATTCAGATCGTCTTTTCTGAATGGGACGGGACACGCATCCCACAATGCCCTGGTTCAACCCTCCGCAAAAGCCCGGCGTCTGGCATCGACAAAGTTCATTGGCTGCTTCTGAGTTCTGTCCCTTACAAAGGCACAGTGTTTGAAGCATAACATTACACCGCCTGCTGGTACTCATCATAATGAAGCAGCCGCCAGCCTCCCTGCTGAATCTCCAGCACACTGTTGCTTGCTTCATTGAAGCTTGGTCGTGTGAACAAAAAAAGTTTTGGCGGCATTCAGCGCTCACTCCAGGGTTAGAGGTCATGGTTGGGGTGGTGTGTATTTTAGTCTTCCCCCAGCACTCCCAATATCCTCTTGAGCTGCTCCGACAGGATGGCTGACTCTGAACCCCAAAGTCCCTTCTCACCCCTAACTCCTCAATAACGTTTACAGGATATTAGAATTCCAGAGCAGCCAGGAGCACTTCATCCTGGAATTACTAAAATGCTTGTTACAGATCTTTTGCAGATGCCTTTCTGGCTTCAAGACAAAGTAATGTGACCACAAACAAATGTAAAAGATCTTGTGTACATTCCTAAAACGTGATTCACACTCCATGATTTTTAATAATGCTAAACAATTCTAGCATATCAGATTAAACGAACATGTCTCCAATGTCACGCTAGCCAAGTTTCCATACAGATATTTTCATGCGCATTTTGGATATGCGCATAAAAACTGGTTGATGGAAACGCTAAGATGCGCATGAATTTTGAAAAATATTAAACTCAGTAGGATAAACCTTTTTATTCAATAAGAAAAGATGCACAAAAACTGAACAAATTCCGGTATCACATTAAAAAAGGTCATGTGATTTTGTTATAAGAGATCATATGATGATAAAATGTGTGTGAATGGACAAATCAGCAGGCTGAGCACACTGTTAAACATCTGAAATGGTGTTTTGGTCATTTTAAAACGCCTAAACTACCTCAGTATTAGTGTTGTTATATTGTTAATGACCTCCAGAATCAAGAGCGCCTGTGCTTATCCTCTCGCGCCTTCAAACGCCATCGCACGTTCACAGCGTGTCAGGATTGCAAGTCATTTATTAAATGTAGAAAAGATTGACACAGCTTCTCATACCGCTCTATTTGCACATCTATTGTGCGATAATTCAGTTTCGCTCCAAGTTAATTCGCATTTTTGGATGGAAACATAGCTACTGTAAGATTTCAGTTGTCATAATGGTTGAATAAACAACAATGTAGATGTACCAAACACAAAAACGCAAGAACATTTTGACGGAAAAAAATTGACGTCAACAATTTGTGACACTTTCATTTTGTGTTCTGAACTGTAGTGGTAAATTTGCTTGCAGCGTGCCTCAATACATATATATATATATATATATATATATATATATATATATATATATATATATATATATATATATATATATATATATATATATATATATATATATATATATATATATATATATATATATATATATATATATATATATATATATATATATATATATATATATATATATATATATATATATATATATATATATATATATATATATATATATATATATATATATATATATATATATATATATATATATATATATATATGTGTCCTTGCTGAACTAAATGTTTGAACAAAATATTACTGACCCCAAACTTTTAAATGCAACTAGTAAATTTGAATTAAATTCATTTATTTAATACAATTTATTTAGCTGATTTCCAAGACATTTGCAACAAATAATTTATTTTTTAATGTACAAATATTCCAGGAATTGAACCACTATAATGTATATTTCATGACAAATAATGTCTAGAAAACACTTGTGTGTGCAAAACC